GCTCGATCCGCCCTTGTGTGTAAGTGTTTCGCATACTTGTTAATTATCCGTCCGATTTAGATATGCAATAACTATATATATATGCAAAATAAAATCACATAACAAAAATATGCAGTGGTTTGGATATGCGATTAATAAATATACAAATGTGTTTTGTATAATTATTAACTTTGTGTCTTATTTGAATATGTCTCAGTATATTTATGACAAAATCTTGTTAATTATGCGGTACATATGGATATGTGATTTTTATATCACATATAGTTTCGTGAGTTACAGAGTGAAAAAGAAGGTTTTTGATAGAACAATGTATAACAGAAGTGCATATATATATTGGGTGTAAAAGAAATTGTACCTATATTCATGGGTGGATCCACATGTAGGTGAGCCTAGGCAATTGCCTAGGCTCAATTTTTTGTGCTAACATAGTTACATGTGCTAATCAAAAAATTATATTTTGTTGTAATATAGATTGTCAATATGTAAGATAGACAAGATTGACAAAGAGAGAAAGTAGTAGAAGAGATACGCCGTAAACTCATCATCTTATTCATTCACTTGAGCCTTATATATAAGGGAATACAATGTACATGACTAAAGACCTAATGGGCTCCTGGCCCATACCTACAAGTCTTATATCTAGGTAATGTCCACAAATTAATATTTACAACACTCCCCCCTTGGACATTACTGCATCATGTCTATGCCTCGTTAAAAACCTCGCTGCAAAACCCTGTAGGAAAAAGCAGTCGAGGAAAATAGTACATAACATATGCAAACTTATGTGTTACACATGCTGCCTTGTTAAAAACCTCACTAAGTAAAACCCAATGGGAAAAAAAAACTTAATCAAGGAAAAAAGAGTACAGCACCGGCCAACAGGGCCTAATTTTCAGGATTATAATTAGCCTTCTGGACTCGATCTTCAAGGTTTATTTATCGCTCCCCCTTAAGGGAAAACCTTTTTAGTTACATTCATAATTGTATGTTGCTCCCCCTCAAAGTGGGAGTTTCTAACAGAAAACCGTCATTTGTTGCTCTTCAGGAGTTAATATAGATTCAAAAATATCATCGAATGTATTTCTATAATTTATTTGTGTAACACAAACTAAGTTATCTTCAGGATAAATATGAGAAAGTTTCAATAACCAATGGTAAAGAGTTAATACCATTTGAGAGGTATATAACCAATTGAGGACCCATATTTCAGGGATCAATTATACAATTGTTGTCCTTATCCACCAATATCATATATCAAGTCCAAAGATAACTCAACATACATGAAAGAATAATGAGATATTGTCAATATTTATCACGATCTCTTTAAGGAGGGATTTTTTAAATCTTGCTAGCAAATTTATCATAAATGCAGTATCAGGCCTGATGCAGTTTGCGAGATAAAAGTTTAGCACAATTGCGCTTAATAAATAAACTTCATGTCGTTTGTGGACTTCAAGTCCATTGGAACTCCAGGTCCTATAATATCCTCATTTGTTTCTTTGGATCTTTGTCAAATTTCAAATATTTGACACTCATTGGTGTTATAATTTAATATCTCTTTTAGAGATTAAAGTAGATTGGTTGGGTCAAAAATATTCCTTCTAGGAGATGCTCGATCTACAAGTCGAGATAATACTCTTTGGTATTTAACCAAAAGTTTCATTCTTACTCCGTCTATAAGCATGAGTTAACTTATTTAATCTTTTACATAGTATTCACCACATACTCTATTTGACCGAGATTATCATTATACACAAGGTTCTACCTTGAATTACGTACTTTACTTCTTCAGGAAGAATTTAGTTGGTTGTACCACATCTTACCAACAACTTCAAATAAATAAACTATTTATTATTTAATTACCATACATCTCGGGTACTCGAGTCCATCCAGGACTTTCACATATGACTCAATAGTTATGGTAATAATGCTGCCATAAAATTTAACTTGCGGAATCATTGATAATGAGAGAACTTGTCTAAATAAATATTTGGGTCTCTACATAAACCCATGAGCATAATCTCGCTATATTTACATCATACCACCACATCACATATTTCATATAAATGTTCATTATCCTTCTGGGATATGTTATCCTCCGGGGATATATCGTGTAGCGAGTGAAAGCTCTGCCTCAATTTTCTTTCTATCTCAATCAACCTAAGCGCTTCTAGCACTTTCATTATCTTGATCCGGATCATTATTTGAGATAGTAAAGAAATCACATAGACAAGTATGTTGTCGACAACTGTGATATTAAATTTATATTTTTCTCTCAACCATTTGTTAGCCATATTTGTAATCATTTCCCGTAACATCTAATTTTGACCGCCGCATTTCCAGTACTATACTGGATCAACTCTTCAGGAGTTTCTTATAATGGAGTGTTAATTCTTGAATATACATTTTTCGCGACTTTTATAGATCATATTAATTATATCACCTTATGCTTCAAGCATTAAGGAGTCAATCATTTCATAGGGAATTTGCTTACTTTGTGGTACATCTATATATTAACAAATTGGTCACTCCATTATTACTATAGATTTCGCTTGGCAGAACTATAATATGAACTTCAAGGTCAATTTCTAATGCGTGGTTTCAAATAATGAAAACATTAATATTTCGCATATTTAACGGCATTAATAAACTTATGCTCATATCTCCCCCTAATGCTGTGAAAACATCTTCATATATTATGCAAAACACGTACCAAATAATAAATGGATCCCCTATAATGGCCTCTAGGTTATAAAAATTCGACGGAGTATAAAAATCATAGCATACCTAGTTTTTAATATAGGTCCATAAAGGTACGAATTGGTGGTGATAAAAAATGGTACATAATAAAATAACAATAAATTACAGATGGGAAATGTTCGATTCTCCACGCATTTTAGGGAGAAATTATCATAAATAATTGCCTAATATGATCCAACTGCTCATGCTAGTTACCAATTATATAAGTTGGACATCGAAGTATAATAATTCATTTCTAAGTGAACACTATATGCTTCAAGCACTACAACTGTACTTTGCTTGTGAGCCTTTTAATGTAGCTATCAACCATATTACGTGCTTCGGGCACTACATATAAATTTAGTATTGTAGCTATCAACAATACAAATCAATGATATGCATCTTATCAAATATACAAGCAAACTTAAGTAACTTGAGAAAACTTGTACATTGATTCAATCTTGGTAACATTCTAGTTACATAATTTATAAGAGTATATTGAATATGCAGAGCTGATCTAAAATCAAAAGATCATGAATTTATCCAAAAATCCATGAGATTATTTACTAGATCAATCTTTTAAGGATACTGGCTAGATAATTTTTATGCGATTATTATACTGGTCAACCAGACCAATCCTTCAAGGATATCCAAATCTAGGTCAATAAGGTATTCAAATTCACTAGCCATACTCTAATTATATAATCCTTAGGGAAACTCAAATCTATAAGCATAAAATTCAACAGGATATTTGCTTGCAATTCATGATAGGATTAAAAAAATAACTATACAAGTTGCATACCATTCATTTGGTTCATTAGTCAATTAGACTAAAGTTCAAGATATTCAAATTGATTTAGGCTCAATAAATTTGGATCACGTCCATACTCAATGAATAAAACAACGAAACAAAATATGCAACTATAATTTCCAAACTAAATTCACGTGTAATTTCATAGCTTCACCATATATGTTCCAAAAAACATACACAATTCACATTTTAAAATTAATCCACATTTGTGTCATGCGTATTCAGATGCATGGACAAATAAGAAAATATGTGGATATTTTTATTTTATAAATTTTTAGGAGTATAACAATTGAAGTATGAGAGATTTCATTACATAAGATATATAATATTTTTTCCCATTCATCATCGAAAATAATTCTTACACAGAGGATAATGTCTGCTACACATATCTTACGTGTGTTACCACTTTCAAATCTTAACAAGTAA